TGTCCTAGGTTTATAGCTGAGCTGACATCATATGGTCTGGAATATCCCTTTGGTCAGTTGGGGTCAGCTGTCCTGGTTATGTTCCCCCAAGCTCCTGTCCCCCCATCCCACTGTGGGGGAATGTTAGAAAGAGCCTTGGTGCCGTGCGAGCACTGCTCAGTGACAATCACAGCATGGGTGTTCTCAGCACCCTTCTGCCTCCCCACACAAAAGCACAGCACCAGGAGGGCTGCTGTGGGAATCAGCTCAGCCAGACCTGGTACTCCAATTCATAAAACGTTAAAATGGGAAAGTGTTTGCAAGCTGACAGTTTTCACAGAGGAAGAGAGAAATGAGACTTCTTTCACAACAGGTATGTTTTTTATTGTCAAGGCCAAGAATTTCAATGCTGGACAGGAACACAGAATATACAATCATTTTGCAGATTATGATTGTCCAAATGCTTCAAATACCACCACAATTTTAAGATTAATAAGCTGGATACTGGGTAGCTGCTTCTACAATTTCAAATCAATTAGGTTTTTCATTGCCACAAGTATCCTTGGCAGATACATTGTCATGAAAGCTAGTTCACCCTACTATGCAATACAAATTTTTGGTTACATTTGTTGGGTGCTGCCTGCAAAAATGTTACAGTTCAGTAAAGAGTATGCAGATGCTGACACAGTTAATCTTGGTCATTGGATATCCAGCTGTTCATAAAGACAAAAGAACAAAAAGTGAGCCCTTTTATTGATTTATTTAGTTTCAGTTTGAAAACTATTATATTCCTGGAAACTGGTAGTCTTTTGGACTTTTCTCATTGTGGCTCTGTGCAGCCAGATGGGCACCTTCTACGGGGAAGGCTCAAGGATAAAAATTCTTGTTATATGCACTCAGTGTCTGAGGACCTATTAAGGGTGCAGATTGTAAACATTCTAAAGAAAACAGCTTCTTTTTAGCACTTTATAAACATCAATTCACTCTTAATCTTGGGTTAACCTTCTTCTCCTTGTACTGATGCAATGCCCTGCATTCCCACTGAGAAAAAAAGAGAAACCTGGGTGCACAGTGAGGAGTCATGCAGATTGCAGGGATCTAGACAAGGACCTCTCTTAAAAAGAGTGACAGAGCAAGGCACACCACTGACTCTTGTCTGACTGCAGATTGATGAAAATACTGAGGTGCCTTCCAGGTAGACAAGACCAAAAAGCTTTCAAATCAAGAGGTGCTGTGTTTTCAGATTCTTCTCTTGTGCTATTTACTTTATTCACTAGAATGTTTGGAACTAAGGGGTTGATAAAACTGGAATGCCAGCTGTGTAAACATGAAAGTAGGTTTGTAGCCAGCAGGATTGTGGTGCGAATAATAAGGGCTCAAAACCCAGAAGGGACATAACTGCCAGAGCAAGATGCACTAATGCATTTTCAGTACTGAGGAACAGAGCAGGTACTTCCACCCCTGTTCTACACTGGAAACAGCTTTCCTGATGTCTTGCCTATAAGTTAAGGCAAAAGTCAGAAACTTTCTTTTAAAGAAAAAAAAATTATCACTAACAAAATTTAATAAGCATAATCACAGCACCTTTTTCTAATAAAATGACTCTATAAACAACAGAGTAACATGGCTACACTGGTGTTTTGGTTTTTTTCTTCAAATTAAAATATATTTCAGAACAGACAAATTGCAGTTGTAGAAAACTACAAATAAACTACCAATGCTTCTAGCAATTTTAGTAAGCAGAAAAACCAAACAAACGTGAAAAAGGATACAAAGAGAAAATTTACTGGTTTATGAAAACATTTGCATATACAAAGCTATCCCCAAGATAAAATACAAAAACGTATGATGAATTTATTCAGATATGCTCTGGAAAACACATCTATTAAGACATTTTACCTGGCCTTACAAAAGCTACTAATAATTTGTACTTTGAATGAGAATTACTTGGTCTTGGTCTTGAGAATTCTTGAGAATTACTTGGCTGTACTTGGTCTCTGAATGCCAAATTCACTAACAGCTGCTGCCTACCCAAAAAGTCCTGTTACTTGCTGATGATGAATAAACTGTTTTCCCTTTAAACCCCTGGGTTCCTACTATGACCCAGAAAAGGGACACAGAGCATACTGGCCTATAGCAACAGTAACGGAACACAAGTCTCATCCTGCACCTCTATTCCTTTAACACCACATAGACATCACCTCTAAAGAGAGGAATTTTAAAAAAAAGGCAAACAACAAAGCCCCAACACTTACCCACTCTGCTCCCCCAGTTGCTTAAATAGGAAATTATTCTGCATCTCTCATTGAGTGCAATTCCAGGTAGCTTCTGACAGACAGCAGAGCATTTGGAAACACAACATAAAACACCTTATTAAACTCATTTTTGGCTTGCCAAAATTATTAAATACGATTAAGCACTCCACCAACTCCCAGCCAGAAAGAAGCCAAACAACTCTTTCTGGTACCATTAAGATGCCACCTATAAGTAAAATCTAAAATTGTTAATAGCATTTCTGTGCAGGCTTTTGATATGGTATTTAGAACTGCTTTCTCTGGTGGGCTTTGCAAGTTTGCAAATACAGTATTTTCAAGTAAAGTACTCATATTTAAGAGGCCAGGCTGCATAGTGTCTAACAAAAGCAGAATGTTACCACAGGTTTTCTAAATTTATCTGATAACTTCATTACATTGTTTTAAAACTGGATCTGCATACAAAACCTACCAGTAATGTACAACCTCTAAGTAAGTGATAAAGTGATTAAACAATCCCCATGTGTACTGTTCTGAGAGTAAATAAATAGTTCAAAATATGCATCTCGATTTAAAAAATCAAAAATAGTATCCACAAAGTGAAGGCATAGCTAAGTTTCCACTTTCCAATTCATAACTTTATCATAGTCCTGAATTCGTTGTTTTATGTGAGAAAGCTTATTCTTTAGGTATTCACATCGCTCCTTTTTCTCCAAGAATGCAGGGTCCTGCCAAAAATATGAAAAAGTTCACATTAATACATTACACTTTCAGTCTCTTCCAAGAATAGTCTATTATCAGTTACATTCTTGATTAAGGACAGTGTATAAATATTCTCACAAATAACACGCTTTCCCTGGCCACCATTTCTAATTTCCTGCTTCCCCTTCCTTCACAAAAGGCTGGAAAAAGAGGTTTTGCTTTTATATGCTGTAGTTACTTAGTAAACAGAGAAGTCCTTAAACAGAAATCTTCAAATATAATTTACATCCTACCACATAATTTAGATTTTAGATGTGTGTTGTGGTACGTCTAATAAATCCTTCCTTTCCAAAAAGCACTGAAGCTTACAGGAAAATGGAGACAAAATTTTAATTTAAAACCCCCCCAAAAAAAAAAAACCAAAAAAAAACCCCTGTGGTATTTGTAATTCACTGTGTTTGTAATGGAACACAGGTAGACATTTACAACATGCATTCAAGAATGACAAAGTGAAACCTCTTGGATTACACTAAAGACTACTTTTTGAGAGTCTATGCTCCATGCCACAAAAAAATTACAAAACTTCTTTTCAAAGGTAGGACTGTGTTTTCTGTTGTTATCTTATCTATCCATTGGCTGTGTCAGTCAGTAAATATAAGTGAACTGGATCCCCCAAAATAATGAACCTTCTGAATGCAGAATGCTATTCAGAGAGAAACAGAGATGAGACAGACTCTCAGAAGATGAAAACACTTAGCTGTTGTGGGATTTTTTTTTCCCCACATCTGGCTAATGTAATCATCATACTCAACTGTTGGTATGAGTGGAGTGGGTTATGTGCTAGCTTTGCTGAGTTTTAGAAGACAAAATATGCAAAGCCCTGTAGCAGCTATGGATACCCTGAGGTGGCAAGTTGTACCTGGTGTCAGACAGGCTGGCTATTTACACTCTCTCTGCTACTCATTAGACTCACTAGCAATGTAAAGCTGAAAACACTCACGTTTTTCTTCTTCCTGTACTCTTGCAGAACTTTTGATATCCTTTCCTGTTCCTAATAATGAAAGAGACCACAAGTTTTTAAACACTGAGTGTTCATGTAAATTGTACTAAATGCTTGTCAGAAGTACAATTCTCATCTCATCAATCCATCCCAGTTGTAGCATTTTACTTGTAAATCTTGTACTTGAGAAATGGTGAAAGTACATTAACTGAAACTCACTCAAACTTGAAAGCTACTAGCAAAAACCTCAAACCAAAACCCACAAAAACATGTAAACAACTAATAGAAAGTTATTATTCTTGACTGATGACCAAACAGGGAATAACATATTTAGGGAAACTTTCTCTCCCACTGCATCACCAGCAGCATCAGAAGATGCTGTGCCCCAGCTGAATGTAGTCACAAACTGCCTGACACCACACTTGTTTTCCACGAGCCAGTTTCACAGGTACTTACATACAAGCTTTCAGGATGGTGAGGGAGCTGTCTCAGCAATGCATCCAGCTCATCAAACTTCTTTAATACAGCATGAACTTCCACAGACAGTTCTTTATACTCAGCAAACTGGTCATTGAACACTGCTTTGTACCGGTCTCGCATCTCATTTGTTTGAATTGCTGGGTATTTCCTTAAAAAAAAAAGTTTTCAAGGACTAGTTTTAGAGGTAGGACTTAAACACATGGACCTTTTACCTTGAGAGTGTATTTCTGTATTGTTTGCTAGTATCACAACCTTCTGAAATTTCCATCTATGTAAAGCATCGAAGTCAGAGAAGCACAAAATGATTGAGGCTGCTGGAAGGGACATCCAGAGGTCACCTGGTCCAACCCCTGTTCAAGCACGGCCACACAGAGCTGGTGGATCAAGACTGTGTCCACACAGCTTCTGAATATCTCCAAGGACGGAAACTCCACTGCCCCTCTGGGCAACTTGTGCCAGTGTTCAGTCACCCTCACAGTGAAAACGATTCTTCTAACGTTCAGGTGGAACTTCCTGTGTCTCAGTTTGTGCCCTAGTCTATGGCAAATAGTATAAAAAGTAATTTATGATCTCATACTTCACCATGGAAGGACCCACCCTTAAAAGGGACCATGTTACAGATTTAGTGCTTTTGTAAGTACAAGAGTCAGTCACATTTCAGGGGCTAAAAAAACCAAGAAATTTCTCATGTATTTTATTATTTTCTAAACTGTCTGTGTGGCAGTCTTCCATTCCTCTGGCAGTTACTGCAATTCCTAAATGATAACATTCTGTTTTAACATTTGAGGTTTGGGTGGGGTTTTTAAAATTTAAGATTTTTTATTTATGTTACTGGTTCTAACCCCCATCCTCTCCATTTTTAGCATTAACTTAACAAAGAAATATGAGTTCCCATGGCACATGGATGGCAGAGAAACCATGAGTGTGCACATGAGAAGTGCTGAGTGGAAAACATCCCTCAAGTGTTCACCATTAGGTCTGCTCACCAAAGGCAAGTGACTTACGCCAAGTAGTCTGGCATCACGATAGGTTTGGGAATGTGGCCTGCAGGAATATGTCCATTAAGTAGTTCTGGTTTCCTTTCCACTGATTTAAACTGTCTGTAAGTGACCTCTTCTCTTGGTCTGTCATCAATTTCATACTGTTTTGAAAGGAAAAAAAAAAGCTCTTAATATAAGTCAGTTTTATTTGAAACGGAATATACAAAATTCACAAAACACCCAACTCACTTGAAGACAGAGATACAAGTATTGGTAGAAGAATAAAGGCATGGAAGCAAATCACAGTTATTTCTTACAAGCCTAACTGTAATTAGAAAATCAGTTAAGCATTGCAGTAATGTTTCTCACACGGTGTCCATCTTTAGTTTGTCCTAGCAGTGATACCAGTGACAGATAAATACTTCTTGGGGCTTGGAAATATTTGTCTTGTCTGCTTTAAAAAAAAATTTTAAGGAAGTTTCCTTGGATACCCATCTAAGCTGTGAATGAACAGGAATCACTCAGTTCCCTGGGGTTTCCCTTCCCCTTGTTTCCTACCACACAGTTTTACTCCTTGATACAGAAACAAAAGCATGTGGATTCTTGCTGGAACACATAAAAATGGATCCTGATCCAGTGCTGAAGCAACAGAGAAAACACTGAGAGGAAATCCACAGTATCTAACAGGAGCCATTTAAGACAGAAATAAATACACCATAAACTCTATGGGAATCATCACCACCTGCTGTTAAGATCCTATAGAATCTCCAGGGTTACGCAACTGCATCCTCCTGCGGCGGAAGCACTAAAACTGCCAACCCTTCAAAACAGGCAAGGATGTCTTCAGAGCAGCCTTGGAGAAACAGGAGCAGGCTCGACCTGTAATGCACCTGCACCCATCTGCTTTCACCAGCTCTCCCCCAAATGGAGCAGGCAGCCAGGAGGAAAGAGGGGCACCGAAACCCACAGTGCATCGGGTGACCTGCTGCTCCAGCCAGGTCTCCACACTCTCTGTAAACCCTACAGAACTCAACACTTCATAAAAGAGGGGAAGCACACATATGAGGTGGTCATCAGATTTGCTACTGACAGTAAATTTTACAACCTAGCCTAACTTCTAGGCTAGTTACTAGCAGTAACTTCTTTACAAGCTTCTTCCAAATCTTCTGGGTAAGAGAATGTTGTCCAGGCTACATTAAAGATTTAAACCTAATCTCTTCCAAGCCAAATAAGTAAATGAATAGAAAGGTCAGTAAAAACAGTCACAAGAAAATGAACAACCACTTGGAAATACCAGTAAACAGAAAAATAAATTAGTATTTCCTACCTTCTTTTCTGGAAAAGAGGACTGTGTTCTCATCTGTTAAAAAACCAGAAAGTTTTATTTTCAACAGAAATTGTATGCAAAAGCACAGACTCTTAAAATCTAAACTTCTTTTCAAAATCATGATGTACATAGAATTGCATTTATATTTGGGTATGAAGAAATTCAGCACAAGGAATATTTTCAGATCAATTCATTTAAAGACTGTTTAAGAACGGTGGAATGAAAACAAACCACCCAAAACCCAGAAAACAGCTGTAGGAAACAGCTTGCAGGAAATACCCCATCCACTTCCCAGTCTCCTTTATTATTTCACATTCCAGACCATATTAACTCATGTGACCCTCTGCAGCCTGATTCAATGCCTAGAAAACACGACAGGGCTCTAACAAGCAGCTCAGCCAGCAGCTGTCCTGCACAACACCCTCCACAGCCTAGCCTGCATTATAAATGTATTCTCTTTAGGAAGATTAGAATTATAGAATCATTTATGTTGGAAAAATAAGTAACTGAGGAATAAAGCTAAGTAAAACTTCAGTAATAAAGGAACACTTATAGTGACAGGGAAGAGTGACTGAGCACCTTCTGTAAAATTACAGCTCTCTTACTAAAATCACCTAAACCTGTTTTCAGGAGGGGTCAGCATTTATGTAGGCTTCACATATATGAATTTTGATACTATATTAGAGTTTTGCTTCCCTGCCCCCCCCCCCCAAGTATATTTTACACAAATGACTTTAAATTCTCTGGTTGAGAGCAATTAACTCTCTGCTATTACAGCTTATCATTAACCAGGTGAGTATTGAATGCTTCTAGTTCGGGGCAAGGCCAGCAGCAGTGCACAATACTCGATGTGAGAAAGATCAGGTTAACTGAAATCTGAGACACCCAAATCTAGCCAACTCTGTTATTACTATTATTTTCTGATAACTACTGTAAGGAAAGGTGAAACGCCCTAAAGAAGTAGCTTGGAGTTTCGCTTGCAAGTAAAATCGGTATTTCATAGTGTTACAGTCATTCACAGTAGCACTTGATGTGCTGCTGAAAGTCCTGTCTTTAAGTAAGTGCTGGGTGGCTTTAA